TGACTCTTACTCATCCCCCCTCTTTCTTCCTTCCTTTCCTCCCTCTCTCTCTCTCTACAATTGGCCATCTGCTTGTGTGACTGTACGCCTGCAGAGCAGGGTCCGGCTGCTCCCTGATTAGCCTCACAGACACTGTGGAGCTCATCAGCTGAGAGAACAGACTTGCACTTTGCTGAGGGCCGCTGCAGCTTTGCTCTGCTGAGATTCACCTCTGTGCACCATGTGTCCATGGAACTTCGATGGACTCGCTGCTCGGGATGGAGATGAAGATCGCCCGAATAAAGGCTTGGATTTGGGTCTGTTCCTCGCAGTCGTGTGGATTCGGAAGATTTGGATTTCAGCGCACGAATAAAATTGTTTCATTTCGTAATTATGTTGCGTTTTTGGTGTATTTATAGTTCTATTGTCAGTCACAGCATGTCGGAGTAAACGCCTTTTGTGGCCCATGGCAAACAAAGTAAACATTACATGACAAGTAAAGGTTAAACGATTGCAGAAATGTTATTTATTTTAAGGTTTAAAGTAAAGTCTTGTTATTCTTGGAAACGAGTTGGCAGCAGAAATCACACAACAAAACGAAATGTTATAATTTCATATTAAGTAAACGAGTAAACAATTTAATAATGCAATTGAAAACAAGGTAACTGATATGACAACTAAAAACAACTAACGTTAATAAAATTAATAACGCAATTTCAATATTCATAAGGATTCATTTTTAGGTGTCGTCAATACGTCAGTTTTGTACGTTTAGATGCTGAAAATATGTCAGTATTGTACGTTTTAGTGCCTGTAAAAACGTAAGTAAATGTACGTTTTATAGAACCTCATTTTACGTAAAATACATACGAATTATCCTGAGATCACGTTGGACTTAACTGTTAAATTCTTAAAATCTCATCTTGGTATTTACATCATAATAATATTATTATTAATATTATTTATCAGTTCCAAATGTTCACAACAACATTAAATCAATCTCTATATTTATTATTATTAGATGATTTTATTAGATGACTGCATACAGTACACATAGAAAATTGGTGCCCAATTTTTACCAACATTACCAAGATGGCCACAGGATAAATGTCTGATAGTTCACTGTGGCAGGCATAGATTGTGGCACAATCAAATGCCTACAAGCCCCTTCAACCAAACAGAAGTCCTATACAACATAACCCTCATTACACTACACTGAATAATAAATAAAACATGTATTCCTCAGGGAAAGTATGGTCTCGCTTTCCACACTTCCTCCAATTACTCCACCTCAGTAGGTTCGGCCATGAGCTTTTCTGCTCCACAGGTGCTGTCATTCGCCAGGCCAACAGAAAGGAGGAAGCCTTCGTCTTTCCAAGCTTTGTCTCTGTCTAATTGGCTGGCAGTGTGACCCTGTGGGCTCAGAGGAAAACAGTGCCCTTAAAGCGTAGTACACCAAGTAGAATTATTGCTCTTAATCCAGGAGAATGGCCTCCACAACGACCAAACCTGCTGCGGTTAATTAAAGAGAAAGGCTGAAGTGCGCGCCTGGTGGCTCTGAGATAAGTAAGAGCAGTGAAGGACAAAACTCAGCTGAGGTGGACTTTTTAAGATTGTGGATGGAGATTGAGGTAATGCTATTGTGAACATGAGAATTCCAATTAAGATGCGAGAAGTTTCCTCTAATGTGAGTTCAATTTAGATGCGATCCACTGCATAGATGTTGTTTAAAATCTTATTTAAGCATGGGGGTCACTTAAAAAGAATTAGAATGCCCTTGTGTTGTTCTAAACCAATATGAATTACTTTCTTCCATGGAACATAAAAACAGAAGTTTCAATTCATGTGCTAGTCACTCTTTTCCAAGCAATTAAACTAAAAAACTTCCAAGCTTCAAAAGGGCACAAAAGCACCATAAGAATATTATAAAAATATCAAATATAATTCTTCTGATGTCACATGATGGCTAGGTGTGATGAACAGACTTAATTTAAAGGGATAGTTCACCCAAAATTTACTCACCCCATGATTTACTCACCCTCAAGCCATCCTAGGAGTATATGACTTATGACGTATATGAATACAATCGGAGTTATATTATATAATATGCTCTTCCAACCATTATAAAGGCAGTGAATGAGGGTCGAGATTTTGAAGCCCAAAAAAGTGCATGCATCCATCATAAAAGTACTCCACACGGCTCTGTGGGATTAATAAAGGCCTTCTGAAGCGAAGTGATGCGCTTGTGTAAGAAAAATATCCATATTTAAAACTTTATAAACCGTAATCTCTAGCTTCCGCTAACTGTCGTACACACGCTCACGGCGTAGCGTAATTGCTTTGCTTCAGAAGGCCTTTATTAACCCCTTGGAGCCGTGTGGAGTATTTTTTACGATGGATGGATGCACTATTTTGGACTTCAAAATCTCGACCCCCATTCACTGCCATTATAAAGCTTGGAAGAGCCAGGACATTTTTTTTTATATAACTCCATAACTTGTAACTTATAACTAAAAGAAGAAAGTCATATACAGCTAGGATGGCTTGAGGGTGAGTAAATCATGGGGTAATTTTCATTTTTGGGTGAACTTTAAGTAAGCTACTAAGTTAACAGAATCGCTGAATAGATGAGAACCAGATCAGCCTGATTCATGAATGAATCATTCACAGTTCTGTAAACTGAATCTGATTCCTTGCAAAACATCCAACTTGATTGTTCATAAACTGGACATTTCTCATGAATATTCAACTTGTGTTCCACAGAAAAAGAAAGTCATAAGTGTTTGGAACGGCATGAAGATGATTCAATTATGGCAATTTTCATTTATGGGTGAACTATTCGTTTAAAAACCAAACCTCATTTATAAATTTCACTTGCACAGTTTGAAGATATACGTTCTAGAGGCCAAACACACACTTTGGCTATTGTTGTTTTCTAATACAATTAAAGCAAGCACATAATCATATTTTAGGCCTATTTTCCAGATTGTAATAGCACTTTTCTTCCGTTTTATAGAACTGTCAGATATTGACTAAATTATGCATGACAGCACAATTAAAGCAGATGTGAGTCTCAGTGAAACAGAGAAAACAAGTTATCTCTATCTACGTACTTGCAAATACAACCCAGTGGAATGTATCCAGTCATAACTCTGTAAGGCAGACATAAGATGAATCTTGGCATATCCAATTTCTACCAGGTGATTGTGTGGCCTGTATAACATACAGGAGCTGCTGAAACAGTTCTACTCTGCCATCATTGAATCCATCCTCTGCACTTCTATAACTGTCTGGTTCAGCTCAGCTACCAAATCTGACCTCAGAAGACTACAGAGGGTAGTCCGGACTGCTGAGTGAATCATTGGTACAACCCTCCCTTCTCTCCAAGAACTGTACTCATCCAGAGTGAGCAAAATTATTATCTGTGTTTTTTTGTTCTGTCACTGTCATTCTGTTACACTGTGGAAGCTTCTGTCACGAAAACAAATTCCTCGTATGTGTAAACATACCTGGCAATAAAGCTCATTCTGATTCTGATTCTGATTCTGATACACTAGGGGGGAAATTATTTGGACAGCATCTACAGTATTTAAATTTATAATAATACAAACATGTAAAAAAAATAATTCAACTTTTGATTGTGATAGTCTTGGTTCTGGTTTGATGGTTCTGCTTATTTCTGTTAAAAACAATTGAAAAAATTATTTTAGGGAAGCATAACACTTTCATTATACTGCAATTTTTAAGGCTCTACCATGCAATACTTCTAAACTGCAATACATGCAATACAACAGTATCCACTATATAAGAAAAATGCATACTATCAACAGAACATGAATGAAAGAGACTTGCCCTGTATGACGTATAACATACTCTACTAATATATATATATATATATATATATATACATACTGTGGGCCAGTACATTGCCATGTGCTTCCTGGTGGACTCCCAGCAGCATGAGCTCTTTAAACACTTTCCACTGGCTGATTTTCACCTATTTAAATATTCCCTCTGGGCAGTAATACCCTTAATAAGAATACTACAACCTGCTGTACATTTGGGTTTACTGGCAGGGAGCATTATTAGGCCGTAATTTAGCCACTGCTGACATGCTATTATTTACGCATATCTTATGATGCATAATTGACCCCTTGTGTTTCAACATGAACTGACTTTTTTATTTAAAATAGATTTTGTTGCAGGAATTTAAAAAAAAAAACACTGGATGTCTATAGCCTACAAGACTGAACAACCATTTTTGAGTAGAACAAAACAGTAGCTCTCTGAACTTTTGAACGTTATGAAAATGGTTTTGGTGTCAGGCAGTAGTGAAGCCAGAATAAAAAGATTTTATTTCCTTTTAAAAAAACTTTCTTTACCTGTATTTCTCATAATCAATACTTCATTTCTCCCACTTATATCTTTATAAGTCATAATGTAACTTTACATCTCACAATGTGACTTTATATCTCACAGCATGACATTCTAATTCTACACAATATCTCACAATTATGTATTTTATTCTTTACTTGGAAACATGCTTTCATACCGCAGAGACATACGTCACATTTGGTGTGTGAGTGGTTTTGTGAACAATAAGAAAAATTAACCATTTTAAAAAAGTAATGCATTTCTAATATGATGTAATATATATAAATTAATATTCAAGGCATTATACAAAAGAAAAATGCCTTTGTCTTTGAGATTACAACCCAAGCGAAATAATGAGCACTCTGACAGGAAATGCATATATAATCTCTTTTGAAAAAAGAAGTCTATGACAAGCTCTGAAATCACAGACTTTTAAATTACTACCCATGAAGGCCACCCGCTGACTGTGCGGAAGTGAGCGGCTTCAATTATAAATGCATAAATGCCGAGAGGAATGTACGTGCACAACCATGAACATAAGGCATTTTTCATCATCAACAAGCTTAGCTCTTGTTAAAAGCAGAAATGATTTTCTAATTTTTGGGCCTCTGATCACTGACTGCTTTATCCTCTAGGTTTTTACCCACCTTGACTGAGATCTTCCCCTTATCCTTTGGTAAATGTGCAGCCAGGAACCAGTCTCCTGGGAGGGGGCTGGTGACATTGAAAACCCCTGTGGTGCGGTTGGGCAGCGTCCATGTCAAAGTGACAGCGAAGGAGCCTGGTACAATAGTGTCCTTTGGAAAACTTGTCTGGAGGGGGTTGATTACAGGTGGAGCTCCTGACCTGAAGTACCTGTAAACCAAGGCTACAGTTACATTTCAAAACATGCCGCGGACTGTTATCTTGGTTGAGATCAAATGCATCAGTCATTGTTTAGGATCATTTACGTTCCAGTGTGATGCAAATATGGCTTTGAATTTCTTATTAAAGCTGGCACAAATACTACATAAATTACTGTTTTTAAATACACTGACATTAGTCTGTCACACAGGTAATCCCGCCCCAATCCAGGCCATTGGTTGAGATGACATTAAATTTATTTGGGATGCTCAAAATTGCAGTTCCATTTGGCGCCACTAGAGGTGCAGAAATGCACAATTTACATGAATGTTTTCATAAAGAGAAGCATCAAATGACCCCACAAGTATAAGAAAACCTGAAAACATCTACAGTGTGGAGACAATCCAATGGCCCACACAAAGTCATGATTTAATAAACATACTAAGTAATGTCTTAATTAAAATCTAAAATTTCAGAAGAGGATAATCAGAAGAATAGAAAATGTTGTAAAGTTTCTATGCATTTTTAGCTAAATCTGAAACAATTATACCTTTACAGACATCCGGGGATGTCCTCAATTAGAAATAGGCTTCATATGTACTTTAACAAACTAAATAAATATTTTTTTTTTTAACTCACAATTTTTTTTTACTCACAAATGTTTTAATTCACTTATATTTATTAATTTATAACAAAACATCAAATCCAAAATATAGGAAAACTTACATGTGATTTCACACATGTACATTCCGAGTGAGTAAATGTATAAATATAATGAGTTCTATAATAAGACAAACAAATGAGTCCATGTAGTGAGAAACACAGGGCCAGAGAAAGCACATCGAAGTCAGTCCTGAATCAATTAGAATGCAGAAGATGCAACAATTTCTCACTCGATCACAAGAGAGGAAATGGAGCATTGTGACTAATACTAAATTATGCGTGAAGTGAATCGTAAACAAATATTCAAACATTTAACTTCATCGTTAATGTTTTGAGCAATGCTTACAACTGTAGAAAGCATTGATTTGGAACAACGCCCCGACTAGGCTGCAATTACAAGTAAAGGAGAGAAGAACGAAAGAGACGAAAATCATTCACTCACATCAGACTCATTGTCAACACAAAACCGCAACGTGCTTTCCTTCATTTTGACATGGGAGCACAAGGCCATGAAAGTAAAAAGTCTTCCCTCAGTCTCTAGCCTGTCAGTCAAGATACAGACACAGTCAGACAGCAGGAGCAAGGTGCGAACTACGGGGCAGCTAGGGGGAGCTCGGCTCCCCTTAATAAGACATGGGCTCCCTTGAAAACGGGATTTGTGAAATTTTGGGGGGTCTCAAAAAATATTGACAATGTGTTATTTTGACGTGCAATTTCAGTTTTGTGTAATGTGATCATCGTGGATTATTATGTGTAAAATTGCAAAAATATCATTCATTGTTTAGTACGTTAACTCAAAGATTCGTAGAAAAAATATAAACGCTGGACTCTGCGGTTGAGTAACTTTAACCGTTGTTCATGTGAACTCAGACAGCCTGATGCTTTGTTTATAGACTATTTGTGGGTGGCTGTTTGTTGTTTCACCTATCAATTCATGTCAATAAAGTATAATAGGGTAAATCCTGCATAGTGATTTATCCTATATAGTGCTTGCATAAAGCAAGTAGTGCATACACTTGTAGCTGTTATGTATCTTTGTAAGTCATTGTAAGCCCAAGCGCACGAACACTTGTGCTTTATTTTATTTTAGTTTTATTTTATTTTATAAAAAAAAAAAAAAGTGGGCTCCCCCAAAGTCCATGGTATAGTTCGAACACTGCAACAAATCATGCCATGACACTTTTTCTAAAAGACTTCACTGTCTGCAATTATTTTTGCTCAATGCACTGCTTTGTGGCTCCAGTAGTTTGTCAGTCACAACCCTGACAATCCTTGGGTTGAAAAAAGTCCCCGTATGAAAGGTTTCACAACAAAGACTCTCAATTACTCTTTCATTCTCCGTTTCTCTCATTTTCAGAGGTAGAAATGGCTTTGTGAGACAAGTAAAAATGGCAAAAGACACAATGGTCACACAATGGTACCCATGATGAAAACTGATATTGTATACATCACTTTGTGACACATTTTAAGTGTTCACAAATGGATTTACCCCATCACTGTGCACGGCTAGCTAAACACCCACCAAAAGTAGTCTATAACACCTGGAGAAAACTATCCTTTCCCCATTGGCAGTTGCTCAGGTGGTGCAGCACCCTCAAGAAATATGCCTTTTGAAATCTGGGTCAATGATGTGATGCTCAATGACTTGAATATACCTCATCTAGGATGTTTTTTTTAATTCCCTAATTGAAAAAAATTTATATTGATATTCATCTGGATGTTTTTTATGGGGATAAAATTAGAGGTCCTGATATCATAATGAAGAAAATGTCTCATTAAAGAATGAAAATATCGAAAATCTTGTGTTCAAAAAATAAATAAATAAATAAATAAATAAAACAAACATAAAACAGGAAATTATATTATAAAAAAAGGCACCACTTATATGTCTAAAATAATTTTATTTATTTTTTTAAAACAGGAAATGATATCGTAGAAAGGTAAATGATTTTATAGAAAAGACCCTTACAGATAAATAAATAAATAAATACATACATACATACAACAGGACATGAAAATACCCTTTAAACAACAACAACTAAAACACTCAGACGAAGAAGTGAATGATGTGCGCTACCGGCGCCTATTTTGTACTAGTCGCGGCGGTAGTGACGTCATGGCTGTCGCCGGCCAAACAAGTTGGTGTTTTTTCAATGTAGGCTTCAGACACGGGTCACGACGAGGCGTTCCCCATAGCGACCCCTAGAGGACGCAGTGTCTCGTTCCCCTCAGGGAACCATGGTTACACAAGTAACCCGAGACGTTTCTTGTCTATATATGTCCCTTTAAGGAGGCCATCTTGGTAACTATTTTCTATGTAGAAAACAGGCATTGTAGCTCCTATCTACTAGAATGGATTAAACCTGTTTGTCAAGAAGATCTTTTAATAACATATTTCATTTTGACAATTACAAACTGACAATTACAAATTCTCCCATTTTTCTTTGAGTGGCCTTATAATGTCTTTTCTTTGCGTGATTTCTTTGTGTGTTTCTCCTTTGTGAAACAGACATGCAATCTTCAGAGATGGTCATGCTAACCCAGGGGTCCTGGATCCTTGACAGGTAATAACTCAAAGTATTGCTGCTGGAGCTCTGCAGGGGTTATTAGATAAGTCATCCTGCCCTTCTTGTACTCTGAGCTAGTGCACCTAAAAGATCATCATCCAGTGTCTTATTCTAAGATGGAGACCCCATACTGCTCATGTGAATGTGACAACTTGGCTAATGTTGTTAACGCTCGAGCTTGTGTTCTGTACTGTCAGACAGATGTTTCCAGCACTGGATAATGATTTTATATGGGTTGTGTTTTGCACTGAGCAATGAACTTTTTCCTTTGATGCTGGCAGTGGCAGCTCAGGATTTTTACTAAGGCACTGCTTTGTAGTTCCGAGGGAGTGTTCAAACTATAAAGACATCCGTGCAAGTAATATGAACACGCTGCACAGACTGTCAGCTATGGTGCTAGGTTATTTTTTTATCAATGTTTAATATTAACTTCACCCAAAAATAAAAAATTAGCTGCCATCTTCATCGGAACACATCTGGAGAAATTTAGCAGTACATCACTTACTCAACAATGGATCCTCTGCAGTGAATGGGAGCCGTCAGAATGAGAGTCCAAGCAGAAGATAAAAACACAATAAATCACAAATAATCCATATGACTAGTTCATCAATTAATTGTTTTATGAAGCGAAAAACTGTGTTTTTAATAAATTTACTTCAAATCGCTGCTTCTGGCAAAATTATGATTCCTGTATATTACTTATATTACCAGTGAAAAAGTCAGGAGAGAAATATGCACAGATCAAGCACCATTTACAAGCAAAAACAGACCAAAACAGTTGTCTGTGGACTTTTTCACTGGAGGAAGCGTTATTATGGATTATGGACTCATATTTTGACCTGAAGCGATGGTTTCAAGTTAAATGGGCAATATCACACAAGTAGACGAGATATGGCTGTATATCGGCATGGCTGTGATTCAGTCATAGGCACGAGTTGTAGGCATGACTTATATAGCCATATAAACAAAAATGTATAAAATCCTGTTTATTTCATGTTTCAAATTAATTCATGTTCTTTCATAATATATCAGGTAAGTTATTTCAATGTATGCATCTTGAAATGTTAAAAATATATGATTAAAATTGTGTCAGCAGTAAAACATTGTTGTTCATGATTCTAATAATGATGCTAATCTAATAATTAACTACTATTAACAAACTGAACTTTATTGTAAAGTGTTGCCAATTTTATTCTTAATTTTCTTAAAAGATAATCGACAACTCCAATGTTGAGTATGGTGCAATACACTGACACAGGAGTCAGGACTTACATACACATACACAAATGATCACAGCAGAAGACACCTGTCTGTTTTTCTAATTAACTTAGCATTTACTGTCAATGAACATTTCCCTGGGACTGAATGAATGCACCTGATGAAGCTACCATGCATCCTTAAATGCTCTTATACAGTTCACATACTTAAGTTCACACAAGGTGCAAAGTACATGCCATATAAAATATGGCATGCCATATAGTATGCAATTTATTGCTCCAAAGGCCTGGCTTCACTATCCTTTGCAGAGCATGCGGTGCTCTGTAGTGACCCAATTAGTTATGCATCCATACATGTTAGCAAATCACATCCAAACATATTACTGCCAGGCTCATCAAAGCAATTCAGAGCTGTCCTAAGATCAGTGTCCAAGCTGTATGTAAACTGGACTTGCAGCAAACATATCATCATAATCAGATCAACATGCTCTGTATGTCAGTGCATTTCCTCACAATGTTTAAGGTCACACTCTATTAATCCCTAGTTGTCAATTAGGCTGGAGAG